CTCCGGGGAAGGCACACTCATACGCAGGATGGGGATCGAAAGGAAGCCCTGGAATACGGAGACGTGTGAAGCAAAGGCTCTGCAGCGCGGCGTGCCCAGTCGAAGAGCCAGACCTACTGCCCAGCCCAGGGCGTAGGCCAGTGTTACCGTGGTTACTAAAGCAGCCACCAGTTGTTTGTTTATGTACTGAAACACGTACTGGTTGATGTAGACTCCTAGGGTTATTAGAAGTATGCCCGCTAAAAGCAGGAGAGGCTGGCTAAGCCAGGTGAGTACAGCGATGGCAGCAGAGGGTTTTTTCCACCGGAGCAGCACTCCAAAAAGTTGGAGGAGGACAATTAGCGAGGAGAGGCCGATGAGACGCTCTATGAGGATGGGTTGGGCGAATAGGTACACTCCGACGGAGTAAACCCAGAGTGGGGCGAGCACTGAAAGTACAGAAGTAAGACTACTTTTAGATAAATAGTAGTAATAATTGTTTACTATAATGTAGAATATGTGTGACACTTACGGAGGTTAAAAACAGCGGTTGCGTGCGCGAGAACGGCAGCAAACTGTTGGTCACAATCAGCAGAAAGGGCGTTTACAATGTACGCTGCCCCACCGCATTGAATAACGGTACTGACGAAAAGGCCATACCCCATGTCTTCATCGACGTTGCAGGCAAAGATGATTCCCACTACTAGCTGTTTTGTAAAGAAAAATACGAAACACCATACCATTAACAGTCAAACTCCAAAAGCAGGGTTATCGAAAGCAGGTTTTCTCAAATGTAATATTGCAATAGCAGGTTAAATTAAACGGATCGGCTTTTTACTTTCCTTTGTGAATGATCCTTTGGTGTTCACTTTTGTTGAGGTGACTATATTATCCCCTGCGTAATGATACCTGTGCATCTGTAACGGGATTTTGTATGCGCCAAGAAAAGTCTGCGAAAATTCCGACCGCCTCAATAAGTTTTATGTGTTACTTTTCGAAAGTAAACGTAGTTCTAATTGGGACGTCCAATTCATAGCACAAGCTCGGAACAGAGCATTTATTTTGGCCACCCAACAAAGATTAATGTAAATATTGCTAGCTTACGTCAGTAGTAATTCTTTTCGCGGCGACTAGTTAGTGTTTGGTGCATGGTGAAGTGGGTCTTCGGCTCTGAATTTGATGAATTTGTCTCTTTATCGGTTCCACGTGACTCGATAGTACAGCCTTATACTCAATGACCAAAAAGTCGCGGGTCCGAGTCTCGGGCAATCCACATCTGGGATTGGATATAACTGGCTGATGGCAAATAAGGAGCCAACAGTGTGTATATTTCGGTCCCTGTTGCCTTTGTCGGTTCCAGCGTGCTATGTGCTATGCCTGCGCGGTCTTTAAGGTGGGCTCCAAAACAAAACAGAACGTACCTGTTCGTAACCATGATCGGTGAGCCCTACACTATCATGTGCCTCTGTAACGAAGCAGGAGACGCGATCCCTGGAACGGTTATTTTATTCGTCTGAGCGTTCGACTCCACACGAGAAGCCATTGTCAGAGAAATTGAGAAACAGCAAGATTTAGCTACGCGCAAATGGGGGTGGGAGGAAGGTTCGCACTTGTGATTGGTCAATGTCCACGCCACGTCCATTCTCACGCCGTCTTATCGTGTGTCGTCTACGCGCATCTCTGTAGTTGTGTCGTGTAACCTTGACGTGGCAGCCTGCATGTTTTTACGGGAATTTGGCCGCGGTTTCTCTTCGCGAATAGGGATGGCAAAGTAACAGGGCGGTTTATCCACATGCCTGTTGATGGAGTTAGGATCTGACACCAAGGCTTCCAGCGGTTCTCGACCAGTCTTATTGCTGGCTCTTGCCATTATCCGTGTGCCCGAGAAGTCGAATTGGTGGCCTTCTTCTAGGGTG